CGGGTTCCTTTGCTGCTCATGCCTCTAGTGGCTCCTGACCTCAGAATTCAGAGCTCTGATGTTTTGACGGTGCATCTACAGAGGGTTCCGTTGAACTTGATTTGTTGAAGGTTCTGTAGCTTATAGCTTATAAACTCGGGCCATAAAACCCTTGAGCCCTGAGTTCTAAAGGATCCAAATCCTGAGGCCCAAAATGCTTTACCTTCAACTCATCCCCCAACACACCCACTAACCTTAAACCCTGAACCCTATACCTTGAAACCTCCTGTGCCCCAAATCTTGATACCCCCCTAAACCCTTTACCCTTGAAGCTCTAAACCCCCAAAGACCCCGGAGAATCCGAATTCGCAGAGGATTCCCGTGACACCGTCGAGCGCTTGGCCGACCAGCTCCAGGCCACTTCGCGCGCTTAACTGCGGAGTTTTTCTCAGGGTTCTAACGAAGGGCTTATAGGGCTTATATGGATTGAGATTTGTGCTTGCAGGGTCTTGGGGACGTCTAGGGTGCAGCGGTTGACTTCAGATGAGTCTTCTACTGTACCCGACAACCTGCCCTGTCTCAAAATGCGCGCTGGCCAGGGAAAAACCTTGGCAGCTTTTTTTGATTAAAAACGCCGTACACCAAAGCCAACAATATCCCGCCGGATGTATCCGCGAAACCCCTCAAGCCCTTGAGCCCTAATCCGAACCCAAGCCTTGTCTAAATCTGCGGCAGCTTGCTTCGACTCCGGATCTCAACGGACTGTTTTTTTTGTTGGTCCTCGCAGGTTTGTTTTGGTGCTGTCGCAACGGCTATTTCTCTCCCCTGGGTAGGCCCGGCGCTGAAGACTGCATGTACAGAGTCCGAAGCAAGCCCTCCACCCTGTCCAGGGTCTTATTTGTATCTCCAAACGTGCACATAATCAAAAAAAGACTTATCTCCTGCGCACTGGTTTTTCTTCCTACCTCGCCACGTATCCATGAACAAAACCAGCCTCCCCCTCAGTGGACAGGGCTTTCAGTGTTCGAGGAGGGTAGAGAACACCTTGACAGGCAGCATAAGGCCTTTCCTTCCTCTTGACAAAGCTTCATCCAGACGTGCCGGAATCGCCGGGTTATGCAGGGTTCGATCACTGTCACGCCGGTCGGGTTCGGGCTTCCGCTCGGCGCCCGCCCTTCGCGGGCTTCCTGCCCTTGTCGCGAGCTTTCGGCCCTTCGCAGGCTCGCTGCCCTTCGTGGGGTTCCTGCCCTTCGCGGGCACTCTAGTCTCGTTCGAGCCCTTTGCTCCTTGTTCTCAAAGTCTTTATTCATTCGTTTCGAGCTGTTTGTTCCTTGTCCTGAAATTCTCCAGTTTTGTTCGAACAACTTGCTCCGTTTTCTCATATTCTCTAGTCACTTTCGAGCGGTTTGCTCCTTGTTCTCAAATTGTCTAGTCTCTTTCGCTGGGTTTGCTGCTCGTTCTCAGATTCACTAAATTTCTATCGTTTCTTTCGAAATGCTCTCGTCTTTTTCGAACGGCTTGCTGGTTGTTCTCAACTTCTCTAGTCGTGTTCAAGCACAAAACCCTCCTTGTTCTAAACATCCCTACTCCCTTTCGAGCGTTTTGCTCCTTTTTCGTAAGTTTGTTCATCTCTTTCGAGCGCCGTGCACCTTGCTCACAAATTCTCTTGTCGAGCAGTTTGCTCCTACTGTTCACGAGTTTTCTAGTTCTTTTCGAGCGGCTTGCCCTTATTTCTCACATTTCGAATCATTTTCGTTTGTTTTGCTCTGTGTTCTGAAACCCCTTAGTCTGTTTCGAGCGCTTGGCTCGTCGTCTCGGGTTCTCTAATCGTTTTCGAGCCGTTGCTACGTCTTCTCAAGTTCTCCAGTCTTTTTCAATTTCTGTAGTCTCTTTCGCTTGGTTTGCTCTTTGTTCTCAAACTCGCCAGTTCTTTTCGAGCGGTGTGTTCCTTGTTCTGAGATTCCCGAGTTCCTTTCGAGCCGTTTGCTCCATGTTCACGAATTTTCGAACTGTTGCCCTTTTTTCTGTTTCTTTGGAGCGGCTCCCTCCTTGTACTCAAAGTCTCCAGTCTCTTGCGAGCGGATTGCTCCCGCATGCTCCCGCATTCTCAAGCAAGTTTTTTTCGAGTGGTTTGCTCCCGTGTTCTCAAATCTTCTAGTGTCTTTGGAGCGGTTTGCCCTTGTTCTTAACTCTGTAGTTTCTTTCGGGCGGTGTGCTGCTTTGTGCCCAAACTGCATAGTCCATTTGGAGCAGTTTGCGCCTTTTTTCTCAACTTCTCAAGTCTCCTTGGCTTGGTCTGCTTCTTGTTTTCAGTTTCCCCCAGTCTCTTTCGAGCGGTTTGTTCGTTCTTCTCTACTTCTCTAGTCTCTTTCGCTTGGTTTGTCCTTTGTTCTCAAATCCTCTCGGTCTGCGCTGTGTTCTGACATTCCCTCGTCCTTTTCGAGCGATGTGCTCCGTGTTCTCAAACTGTTTAGTATTGTTCGAGTGGTTCGCTCCTTGTTCTTCAATTCTCTACTCTCGTTGGGGCGGTTTGCTCCGTGTTCTCATTCTTTAGGAAATTTCTGAACAAGGAGCAAACAGCACGAAAGGGATTGGGAAAATTGAGCCACAAGAGCCAACTGCACGAAAGCGACCAAACAACTTGAGAACAAGCAGCAGCCCGATCTAAAGACACTAGAGAGTTTGAGAACAACGAGCAAACCGATGGATTAAGACTAGATAATCTTAAAGCAAAGAGCTGACTGGAGAAATTGACCGCACGAAAGAGACTAGACAATGAGAACAGGGAGCAAGCCGCTAGAAAAAGGCATAGAGTTTGAGAACCAGGAGCAAACCGCTCGGCAGGACCTAGAGAAGTTGCGAACAATGAACAAACCTCTCGAAAGACACTAGAGATTGAGAACAACGACCAAACCGCTCCAAAGAGAAAAGATAATTTGAGAACAACGGGCGAACTCGACAATTTGGGGAACGCGGAGCAAATCGCTCGAAGAGGGAAAACGGAGCAGACCGCTCGAAAGAGACAACAGAATTTGAGAAAAAAGGACAAACCAAGAGAAAGAGACCAGATAATTAGAGAAAAGCAAACGACCGGCTCGAAAGTGTTTGGGGAATTGAAAACAAGGAGCCAAGCCAGCGAACGAGACGTGAGAATTTGAGAAAGAAAGCAGCACACCGCTCGAAACGGACAAGGCAAACAAAAAAAACACACCGCCCGAAAGAGACTGTAGAGTTTAAGAACAAGGAGAAAACCGCTCCAAAGAGAATTGGAGAACAGGGGAGTAAAATTTTCGAAAAGGAGTAGACAATTTGAGATCAAGCAACAAACGGCCCGAAAGAGACTAAAGACTTTGAGAACAAGCAGGAAACCGCTCCAAAGGAACAGAAAAAGGAGCAACACGTTTCGAAAGATACTTTGGAACAAGGTGCAAACGGCTCGAAAAGGAATTAGACAATATGGGAATTAGGAGCGAACCTTTCAACAATAGCTAAAAACAAGAAAAAGTGGCAAGCCACTCAAAAAATAAGAAGAGAAACTGAGAGAACGGAGCAAAGCGCTCGAACGAGATCGAAAGGGACTAGAGTTTTTGAGAACATAAACCAAGACACTCGAAAGAGACAAGGGAATTTGAGAACAAGGGGCAAACCATTCGAAAGAGACTAGCGAATTTAAGAACAAGGGGCAGACGGATCGAAAGGGACGGGGGAGCAGGCAGCAAGCCGCTCGAAAAAGACTCGGGAATTTGAGAACAAGGAGCAAGCCGCTCGAAAGAGCCAATGTGAGAACAGAGTCCTAACCGCTCCAAAGAGATTCGAAAATTTCAGAACAACGAGGAAACCGCTCCAAAGAGGCTAGACCATTTAGCAACACCGGAGCAAAGCACTCGAAAAGGACTGGAGGATTTGGTCAAAGAATCCGGGACATGGAGCAAACCAAGCGAAAGGACTAGGGAATGTGAGAAAAAAGGAGAAAAGGAGCAAACCGTTCGAAAAGATGAGCGAATTTGAGAACAGGGGGTTGGTCGCTCGAAAGAGTTTTGACTACTGGAGAATAAGGAGCAAAATTCTCGAAATAGTCTCGACATTTCCAGAACAAGCAGCAAACCAAGCGAAAGAGATTGGAGAGTATGAGAACAAGGAGCAAACGGCCCAAAGACTACTAGACAATTTGAGCACCAGGAGCAAACCACCCGAAAGGGACTGGATTGTTTCCGAACTGGAGTTTGAAAACAAAGCGCAAACCAAGCGAAAGAGACGAGAGAATTTGAGACAAGGAAGCAAACCGCTCGAAAAAACAAACATAGAAAACTTGACAACACAAGGATCAAACCGCTCGAAAGATGCTAATTAGAGACTTTGACGGCATGGAGCGAACCAAGCGAAACAGAACCATAACTTGAGAACAAGTTCCAAACCAATCGAACGGGACTAGGTATTTCAGAACAAGGAGCCTCGATTGCGGACTTCAGGATACCAGCGGGGCATGGTTGTTGAACCCCAGGAGGAGATTGAAAAGCCTCGAGCATCAAGAGTTTCAAGCGTGTACAAAATGCGCCACTGCCAAGCAGGGCCCTACAAGAAGCCAAGCAGAGAGTTTGGGCACAGGGTTTGGATCGACAAGGTTGTTCGATTGAGTTGTTGAATGGTTTGTTTCCGTGCAGAGTGAAGCAGTGAAGCACTTGTTACGTTGGTCTCAGCATTTTCATTTTTGGAGTTGCGTGCAGAACAGTCGCTGAAGCGGGCGTGTGGCAAGGTACAGCAACTGTCCTGTATCTGTTTGCATGCTCGTCCTCGCCGGGACGGAGCCACCGGGATCAGAAGTGCCCCGCAACAGTGTCGATTCTGACATGGCAGCCAGATTGAAGTACGAAGGTGAACTTTCAAAGGAAGCGTGTGGCATCGGCAAGAGTTGAAGTAGTGAAGTCATTGACTTGAAGCTTTGGTTTGTCTTCTAGGCATGACTACTTCGTCTCACATGCCATGCTGATGCGCAGCTATGCGCACATGTGGAGCTGGCGCAGATGTCGCTGTGCCCTTGTCGAGGGATTCGCCTGTGGACAGCGGCCTTGTTGCTAAGCATAGCCTTTGCATGCGTCAGATACCACGATATTCTTTCGAAAGGTCAGGGTCAAGACCGCTCTCAAGTCGCCGTGGTGGAGGGAAAGCCGGAAGGAAGGGCAGATTCATTTGACATCCTGCAGACCATGCCCGGCGAAAAGATCGGGGTGAAGGACGATCCCTCCTTGTCCCTAGTGCACACAACTGCTCAAGTTCGTGCGGACGTGTTGGAGGAAGGGCAGCAGCAATCAGGAAATTTGACCCTTGCCAGCCCACACGGAGCTGAACAAGGTCAAGAAGAGCTGCTATCCCGTGGAGCAGAGTCTCCAACGGTTTGTTTAGCTGTCATCGCAAAGACGAGTGCAGCCACCGAGCTGCTTCTCAGAGTCAAGCACTTGAGTGCGCAGCACGACAACATCTTCAGCCGCCGCTATTTGGTGGTGGATTCGCAGGGTGAAAAGGTGGATGCCTCCATTGCCCGCGTGGCAGACTCATTGGTGCGCGAGAAGTATCTCGACGAATGGTTAGCCGTGAACTATTCTGAAGCCTATAAGCAGTTGGTCAACTTGACTGCTGCGTGGGGCAACTCCTTTCGGGTTGAGGCTGAGGAAAAGGCAATGGGACATGGATCCTTAGACAATGATCTGCCGGTGAAAGAATTGGACCACTACTTTGCTATCGACCAATGTAGTGCAGAGTACGTGGCCATCCTGGAGTCAGACATGATCGCCTCCAGGCAGACAGGGTATTCCTGGATCAGTGAAGGCATTCAGGCACTGAAAGATAACCGGGACTTGATGCTTGTGATCCCGGCCTTTCCTGGGCTGTCTGAGAGAAAAGTCCGGCCTCGGCTCACCACCAAAGCGATCGTGAAGTCGAGTCCACCCGGGCGCTTTGTGGGCCGTGTACCACTTGTGGACACGACCTGCGAACATCCCTTCTCCTTGCCTGGTCACGCCTCACTGCTCAATCTTCGTCGCTACAAGGAGCTCGTGTCCTTCGGCCACTCTTTGGAGCATCGCTGCGGGGGTATGCTCGTGCACGGGAAGCCGTGTAAAAAGATGGCATACGTGCGAAAGTGTGGCGGCATCCGGAGCTGGGCAGCAGCTTTCGAATGCGTGATCTGCAACAGCCCAAATCTCAAGCAGGCACATTTGGCTGAGGAGCACCGGGGCTGGTTGTGGTATGCGCCGATGACCCGCATGCGCTATGATATGGGTGGGCTTAGATCCGAAATCAGCAAAGCTGAGCTTCAGCAATAGGCTGAAAGCAAGCCGTAAGCAACATGGGACGACGGTAGAAGGCGGCGCTGCAACCTTTGACCACAAGGAGCGCGGAATGAGAGAGATTGTCAGACTTCTGACGCTTGGGGTGCAAAGGCTGACGCTGTTGGTAATGCGTAGCCCATTCGTACATGTCAGCAAAGCTAAGAGATGTCCTACATCCTGCAACCTTGAACCCTAGACGACAGCTACAGTTCGAGGCATATAAGGCCAAGCCTCTCGCCTCGCTTTTGCCTTGGATCTTGCGCAAGGCGCGAGGCAATGTCACAAAAAAGGGCCGAGTTCGAGCCAGCTGTTGTCAAATCTTAAGGCCAAGGTTCATGCTGCGTACACTGTCCCCGTTGTTTTGCCATGCGGCAAGTGAAGCTGGACTATGATGATTCATGCCGTCTCATGGATCGTTTGCCGGATTTGGCTAAAGCTTTGCTAAGCCGGTCCACTACAAGCCAACATATGTACACGTTTAATCAGAGACATTCACACAGGGGTGTGTACACACACATATGTACATACATACATATATATATATACACACATGTGTACATGAGTTGACACAGGTATGAGAGAGGTGTATACCGTGTATATATCTATATGTATATGTACATGTGTGTGTGTGCATTTGCAACCAGACATATGTAAGTACGTATGTGTGCATGTACTTATACATATTTCTTTATATGTATATACATGTATATATATATATATATATATATGCATATATGTACATTATGTATATGTACATATGTATATAGATGTCATGTTTGTACATGTATAGATGTAAAAAACTTCGGCTCATTCACCTGCATACGTGTGTTTGAGCATAAAGGACACATGAACTTAGAACACGAGGCTGAAGGCAATCGCATGAGCACTCACGTGAAGCCCGTCACCCTCCCTTTTTTTCAGTCCTACTCTTCCGTCGTGTGAATTGGGATGCCCGACTCCACTGTACATCAAGCGAAGTGTGAAGCTCCCCGGACTTCTTTCCCCCAAGCCCAGGGTGTGAACAAAAACAATGTACGGCCGTTTAGGTTGTTATTTTGCATCCTTAAACAAGTATGTTGTTGCTTCGGCCTTAAACCCCCAAAACCCAGGTCGTGAAAACAACCCGGTATAGCTGTTTAGGTTGTTTCTGGCCTCCTTAAATATCAATTTTCTTACTTCTGCCCTATAGACCTCAAACGCTGAGGATCTGAACAGGATCCGAGAAAAGGCCCAAGCCAGAAACTGAGAATGAGGAGCTTTTTTGGCGAGTGACAAAAGCCCCGCCCTATCTCAACCGGCCACACCGCATTCTCGGCAATCCGACGTTGCCCAGTCCTAAACACTACAATTTTGTTCTCAACCCCGTAGCCCGAAAAAGGCCCTGATAGTCACACTGCGCCACCCTGACTCCCAACTAGCTGAACAAAATGTTACAAAGTTCGTAGCTGATGTAAAAACTCAAGCCCGAAGCCCAACCCGAGAACAAGACCACCAAATGGACCTAAAGTCTTTTCACGCCAGGAAGTGGAGGACCAGAGGCAGGAGTCCGGTGGCCCGGGCGGCTTAAGGCTTAGGGGTTGAGGAGCTTGGGATATTGGATCTACACCCCCTCACTTCGTGTCCGCAGCGGGGCTCACTGCATTAGACTACTGTCACGAAGCCTGTAAAGCTTAAGCGCCTAAAGCCTGTTCGTGGCAACGTCACACGCAGACAGAGACAGGGAGAAAAGAATCCTTAGAGCCTCAGCCCGAAGCCCTGGACTTTGAGCTTGCCTTATCAAACCTGGCACCCAAAGCTAAGACCCAAGTCCCTGGACCTTGACACCTTAAGCCTTCAGCTCTCCAAGCTACAAGCTTGAAAATTTGAAGCCGTTGACGAACGCAAACCCTCACTCCTGAGCTCCAAAACCCGAGAGCCTGAAACCGATTGACGAACAACTCCTAACCCTTAACATTCAACTCCAGAAATCCTTACACTACACGCCAAACCTCCAAACCCAAGATCCCTAAACCTTGAACTTCAACCCCCAGAGCCCCTAAACCCCTAAGCCCTGAACTCCTGAATCCTTCCACCCCCAGCCCGGAAACCCTAAACCCTTGACCCTCCAACCCTGCACCCTTAGCACCTAGCGATAATGCACCATGATATTGTAATCTACTGTAGTTGACTGCAATGCCCTATAATGTACTGTAATACTGACAGTAACTACAAATATACTGTAATGTACTGCAATGTACCGGAATACCATGTTATACTAGAACAGATATACTGTGATCGACTGTAGTGTTTTCTACAACGTACGAGAGTATTCAAAGCATACTATAGCGGCTCAAGGTTGGAGCGGAAGCTCGAAGAGCTGGAAAACCAGACGAAGAATCTCGTGGCCTTGTTCCCAGTTCCTTAGGGTTAACGTAGGGTTCTAGAGTTTGGGGTTATACAGGTTGGGAGAGTCCATAATTATATGAATCGACACAAAGACCGACCAGACCACCCTGAAAACATATAGAAGTCCAGAGACCTGGAGTCGCTAAAAGTAGTACAGTCTAACGTACTGTCTAAATGGCCATTGGCATGGATCACGGAGAGCAGGGCCAGGGCGGCTAGGGACTTGCCGGGGCATCCTAGCCAGACCCCTTTTCATCGGAAGTCTTCAAACAAGAATGTAACTTGGTCTACGGAGTGCTAACAGAATGATAGCTAAGAAGCCTTCGGCGTGGTCCCCGAAACTTGGTAAGCCCCAACCACCAAAGCCTGAAGCCGTGAACTGTTCAGTATTTGGGGTGCGCCGGTTCCGAAACGCAAGAACGGTCAGGAAGAGCGCGATCGTCTTCAGGAAGAGCTCGACGATGCAACAGACAGGCCTTTGAGATTGCTGTTTAGCAGATAGGGGGCTAGAAGGAACTGCATTTATGCGTTGGTCCCAATTTCGTTGTACCTGAGTGGAAGAAAGCAGGTGACTGCCGCTTCAAAGTCGGAAGGCCTAGCTGCAAGGATACAGGAGTGTCTTTGAGAGGCCTGAAACTACCTGAAACCCCACAGTCCGTCAAGCCCTCCTTCGAGCCTAAAAATCCTATAGACCGTAAACCCTGGGCCCTGTATTCTGAAGCCCGGAAATCCTAAGCAAGCAGGATTTCCAGCGCATGCATGGATCAGAGGAAGGTACCTGGGTCGACATTCAAAGCCTCCAACACTCCTGAACTGAGCGATGTGCAGCCCGAAAGCCGGTGAAGCCCCGTGCAGAAAGCTGAATAGGTTTGGATTTCTGAGCTTCTGACATGATGCTTGTGGGTTCCGAGGCTCCGGAGGCCGATCCGTGATGCCGAGAAGCCGAGTCTAGACACGAAAAGCGCCTAGCCTCACGCTTTGACTCCAAGCCTTAAGCTCTACATTTTGCGCCCTAAGCGTAAAGGCCTCAAGCCCAGAGCACTCGAGAGCCCCGAAGAACCTCCCAAGCTCCTGGGAGTTCCGGCCAGGATCGAGTACATGACGGAAGCTGAGGAGCGCTGGCGCGACAAGGTGGCCAAGGCGATGGGCTTCAGGGTCTCGAGTTTCGAGGGTTTAAGCTTTTACGTGCATCTTGTGAGTGCAAACTTGTCGGTGTCAAGTTTGCGAAGGGCTAATCGTGTTCTCATCAGCCAGGATCGTACTGTGGTGTTGCTATTCGGTTTCTTCGTATCTTGTCGATGCTGCTCAGGCCCCACGCAGCGAACCCTTGCATATCCATGTGTTCACTGCTACTGTCATCTATGCTTGTTTTCGGCGGCGATGAGTAGGTCCATACTATGTGTACTGTTGCTGCTTCTTGTCCAAGCTGTTGTTGGTATTTTGGGTTTGGAGGGTACGTGATATCATCACAAAATCTTTCTCGCCACTATGATCATCGTGGTGTTGGAGGCAGTGGAGATGGTGCACAGTATATTCGCAGCCCTTGCCGTCAGACCAGTGACTAGTAGGGGTATTCAGTCATGAAAGTCCAAGAAACAGCCGCGACACTGCAGGAGAGAATGATCGTTTGAACAAGTACTGGCCACAGGGTTTACAGCTATATTCAGTCGCGATTACGGACAGTGGAAAGTATAGGAGCGAACAATCAGCTCCATCACCATAATCTCTTCAGGTCGTGAAAACTGGGGGGTCTCGTTCCTCTTGTAGGTCTACAAAACAGCCAGAAATCCGGAGTCGTCTCGTGGTATGGAGAAGCCAGGCATGATCTGCACACGCCCCTGCGAAACCTTGCCATCCTAAACCCTGAGCCCGAACAGCCTTGAACTCGAGGCACGGATCGAGAATGACCGACTTCTGCAGGTGGCCGGGCAGCAACTCGCGAGTGTTCACGGATTTGTCCTTCAGCGCTTTGCGCTTCGGTGCCAAATTTTCGATAACCATCCGGTAAGTTTTCGGTATGCAGTGTTCAACCCAAACCCTGAAGCCATACTGTGTGAGGGTCGTGGGCTGCCTTGGCGAAGCTGAGTGCAGGATTGTGGGTTTTCGCCTCACGATTCAAGTAAACCAATGTAAAACATAGGGAATTCCAACTAGTCATCCAGCCCAATGCAACTTTCTTGGGTGTGCTGCGGATGTGCGAAGGCAACGTCTTTAGTGCTCTCGATGTGAAGGATGCTCTCAACTCATGTTCATCTTCTTCCCGCCCGTGCCTTCGGGTAAATAGTACGAGCTATGAGGGCATCTGCACTGGTTCCCATGCAAGTCCGTCAAGCTTCTGCGATGGTTTGTGGGTTTGGGAGGCCCGAACTCCCAATCAACCATTGACAGCTCAGACTTCCCTGTTGAGTGGGGTGTGGGTCTTGGCGCTTCTCGCAACACCTAAAGCCTAAAGCCCCCTGTGGAGTGTGAAGCTCAACTGCACCTACTTCTTCTAGAATCATGGATGTGCACTTGTGCACACAAAGAAACATGTAGACGGAGGGAGATAGACATAGGCAAATCGGCAACAGCAGAAGTAGCAGATGGCGGTGCGAAAATATGCATACACG